CCGGCCTGCCCTGTGGGAAGGAGCTATCAGCAGGAAGGGGGTTGGGCGACTGTGTACATGCTGACCCCTTGCCCAACCCTGTGCCTGCAGGGCTCCTGACAACTTGAGGGGACAGGGAAACCACCAGCTCACCTGCCACACTTGGTCCTCCGTGTCCAGGCCTGAGGCCCCCGGATTCTTCACTAATCCTGGGCTTCCAGGATAGGGGCCCACGTTCAGACCCAGGAGGCTGGCAGGGCCCCAGCCTGGGCCCTTTCTCCGGCTGCGGGGCAGGGCTGAAATTCCCAACTGCCTCTGCAGAAAGCACAGAGTGTGTGGGGTGTGGACACATATTGTTTTGACAGAGCCGTTCTGACATGGGGCTATTTAGACATGGCCTAAAAAATATCAAACTTCCAACTTTCAAATAATGGTTGAATGAGATGCCAGGTGGATACATTTGGCCCGTCAGGGAACCCAACTCTGGTCAAATGGCCCGTTGGGGCCTGTGTGATGAGGGAGGACTGGATTACCTGGAGGCATGACACCTCTGGCTCTACCAGGAGGTGGGGACCAGGGACAGCAGGTGGAAAGGGCCAAGACCTGCAGGTCCCCCACAGTGAGGCTCCTCCAGGGCTGTGCTAGGAGTGCCCTGTGGGCCATGGAGACTGCATGGTCCAAGCCAGGCCCACGCTGCTCCCCCGCCAGCCTCACCAGGCAGCGAGGAGCATGGGTACAGCCTGGGCCTGTACAGGGGCTGAGGACTGCATGGGGCTACCTGCCTGAGCTCACAGGGAGCCCCCTTCCCCGACTGATCACCCCACTCCTACCTCCTTGGGTGCTGCCCAGGGGGCCAGGCTGGCCCGGGGTCTCCAAGCCAACTTCTCTCCTGGGCGACTGGGACCTGCCTCCGGTCTTTGCTTCTGCTTTTCCTGCCGGGTCAAACACTGGGTCAGGCTTGGGCTGAAAGCGAGGTGGCCTGGGGTAGCAGGCGGCACTTCCAGCTTTCTCGACAAGACTACCTCTAAGTTCTCCCAGGTGGAGAAATCTCACTTTTGACAGTTTTGTTTATTGCCAAATTTTTTAAAATGGGTACTATGATCATTATATATACCTGCATATATATACGTGTAGTGTAAGTCCCTGACGTTACGCTTTCCGATTGCTAGTGTGAGGCTGGCGGGGAAGCATCTGACACTAAGCTCTGGATTGTTAAGGCACCCATGCCAAAAGGCATCTGTCTTAGATAAACACACTGCCAGCTGTATGATGCAGGCCCCAGCAAAACCACCAGGTAACGAACCAGGCTGTCCCCTCTCCCCCATGAACGTCCCTCTTTCAGAAAGCCCTGGGTGAACTAGACAACTGACCACTGAGTGACCCTCCTTCTCCCTTCCTGTGCCCTACCTCATGCTCTTATGTTTTAAATTAGCCAGTAAAGAGTGAACCCACCAAACCCTAGATACCCCCCCTCGACCCTAATAAAGACAGAGCTTTCTCTTTCTCTCTCTACCTGCCACCCCGCTGTGTGCCCCTCGAGCGTGCCCTGTGCCCTCCAGTAACTATGAGTAATAAATCCTGTTCCTCAAAGTTCCCTGATGGTTTTTGCTGAAGTGCATCCTACGATCATATAAGAACCACAGGGCCGGTCCAGCCAGAACACTGGCCCCACTGAGGAAATGTCGGTGGGGCTCACTCTGAGAAACAGAGCCAGGTGAGTGCCTCAGGCATTCCTAGCTGAGCATCACTCATCATTGTGGGTAGGCTGGGCCGACACAGCAGTATATACACATACATGCGTTACTAAGTGTATATAATGTATACACGTCATATATAACATTGTATTGTAACACATGCATATTAAGTTTATTGCCAGTCTTTCTAACGAACAATCCTGGGACCCCATTCGCTTCAATAGCCCCACTCTCTCTCTTGGACACAGCTCATTGTAAGAGGAACTCAAGCATGACAAGAGTAGAGAACTTTCTGGCAAGTCAGGCAAAGTGACTGGCAGGACCCAGAGAACCGAGTTTCTGGATACGCCCCTCTCCAGAGACCCCAGGCTCACCTGCACTGAGGCTGAAGTGGTCCCTGGGCTCTGCTCTCCCCAGGCCTTCACCAGGGCTGCTGCCAGCAGGGGTGCCACCAGAGGGTGGAGACGGAGGGCCAGGACCCTTGCTGCTGGGAAGAGGGTCCCTCTCTGTGTCACAAACAGAGCTGGCGTCAGGGCCAAGGCCCCAGCCCGGGGCATAGCTCCCTCCTCCTCATCTCCCCTACACGCTTACCCTGCAGGAGCGCCTGCCAGAGCTTGGGCTCCAGCTTCAGGTCTTCTTCTGAGCTGCTAAAGCTGGAGCTGGAGCTGGAGCTGGAACCGGGGCCAGGGCCTGG